GCCAGAGGGAGCCGCGGGCCGCGTCACTGCGCAGGCGCGGGCGGGGCGGGGGGGCAGGGCAGGGCGGCACCCACGTGGGTGCGCGGCTCGCACGCGGCCCCCCCTCCCCGGGCCGTTTAATGTATAGGAGATTTAGGGGCCCCTTCTCACCGCCGGGGTCTTTCCTCCCCTCTCCACAGCACTGAATTCCGGGTACATTTCCCCGGGTTTTCATCCCTTTCTGCTTATTCTTTGTGAGTCAAACGCAGGCTTCTCGGCCCGTTTGCTGCGGGAACGAGGCTTTCCCTGCGGGAAAACCTCAAAGCAGGCCGGAGCGGGAATGCTGCTCGTGCCCGCTGGATCCTCCCCAAATCGCCGCGTCGTGCGGCGCCGAGGGCAGCGCCCCGGCACCACATCCCGGGGTTCGGCGCCGCTCGCGGAAGGGCTCCTAAGGAGCGGGTTGGATGCAGGGATTCTCTTCCCCAGGGATTCTCTTCCCCAGGGAAAGGCTCCTTGCTTCGCCGTGGTGTAGCCGGGGAGCAGCCCGGGATGGCTTTGGAAATTCGGGCTTATTAACAGATCCCTTTTTGCAGGCTGCGAGGCGGACGGGTCGGGAGCTGCTGCAGCTCCTGATCTAACGCGTTCCCGGGGTTCCTGGGGTTCAGGTCCAAGGCGAAGGCAGCCCCGAGGTTGGAGGTGTCCGGAAAAGCTCCTTGCAGTGGGTGGGAGGAGCGGAGCGGCTCCGTGTCCGTTTTAAAGGCCGCCTTTCCCCTCAAATGAAGCGTTTTGGCCTCGTTTCTCCAGGCTGCGGCTGCTCTCCTGGCGTTTTGGTCCATGCCTGACATCCCATTCCCTGGAGTTTCTCCTCCAAAGGGTTGCCCGGCTGGCAGTGCTCTGTCCCGATAGCCGCCTGATTTGGCTTTGTGAAGATCCGTAATATTTTTAATAAGATAAGATAGCTTTAATAGGATCCTTTTAATAACTTTACAAAGACTGGGCCTTATGGAGGACGCGGGAAATGGAAATCCGCGCGGAAGCGGCCGCTGTTTCGGGGTGTTTTCCTCCCCGCGGTGGTGGGTGAAGTCGCGGGGTGAAGTCACAGTGTCACCACTGTGATTCCGTCCCCGTCCCCCCCATTCCCAGACCCTGCCGAACTGGGGGGCTGGGTGGGGCGGGGGTGGGGGCCGATTCCCCCCTCGCGGGTGCCGGCGCCACCCGTTCCCATGCAGGAGGAAGGTGTGTTGGGAGCGGGACCGCTCTCTGCTGACCTGGCTCCTTTGGGCGCTGCCCTTTTGCTGCTCACTCAACTCCCCTGGCGTTTCCAGGCGGGAATTCCTCTTGTGGAAGGTGCTGGAGATGCCCAGAGAGCAGCCAGGCTGCACTAGCTCCTGGCAGTGTCCAGCAGGAGGTTTCCCAGCTGGATCCTGGACTTTGAGGACAAACAGGAGTAGGAGAGGCCACGACGGGGAGGTCTGAGGGCTAGGAAGGGGCTGCAGGTGCAAATTCCGCTTCTCACCGTCGTTTTTGCGAGCCGAGTTCGCGCAGGGGAGACTCGTGGCTCTTGCTGGTGCTCGGGAGACGCAGCGCTGGAAGGAAGGACGGTCTCTCGCTGCTGGTTTCACCTGCCCGTTCCCTCCCTGCGCCGGCCGAGCGCAGCGAGCGCTGCCTAACGAGGGATGGACACTGAGGAGCCTGTAAAGCTCCGTTATCATTACATTAATACATTAATTAACAGCACTGCAGCATCTCCACCGGTTAATTCTGCGGCTCCCCTGCCAGGAGGCTGGCAAGGGACACCCGGGCGACGTCTAACAGCGCCCAGCTTTAGTGTTTGCTCTTCCCAAATAGTAATCCTCGCTGTTCCCCAGCGCTCCAGAGGAAACGGGCTCCGGCCGCGGGGGGGCAGCAACACTTCCCAGAAGGAAAAACCCTGAATTTCGTAACGGCATCGCACCCAGCTTCCTAAAAATAGCCCGGCTCCCCTGGAGCTGCTCGAAGTTGGAGCCTGTCGCTGTACACGGCTGTTTTCAGACGCTCGCAAAGCGTCAGCCTCTAAAAAACACGTCGGGAGCCGTGGTGATTCCTTGCAGAGCCGGACTGTCCCCGATCCTGCGGGAATGGGGAAGCAGTTGAGTGGAGCAGCCGCTGAGCGTGCCAGGCCTTTGCCCGGCGAGCCGCCTGCGTTTGCTGCTTGGGCTGCTGGCCGCACGGGGGGCTCCGGCTCTTGTGCTCGGGTGGAGGCTCTTCCCCCACATCCCGGCTCGGGAAGCGTTTTCCCGCTGCGCACGGATGGGGACCGTGGGCTCCAGCCCTGTTTGGAGCTGCGAAGCAGCGCGGAGCCATCGGGACGGGTGTTGGGTTGGAGCCTGGAGCCCTTCCAGTGCAAGGACCCCGTTCCAGTGAGCGGGGCTGGGAAAGCTCGCGGGGATCCACAGGGAGCTCCCCTGTCTTCGCCGGAGGATCCTGCTCCATCACAGGCCTTTGCCAGGCCCAAGCCCGAGCCCGGGCTTCCTGGTGAATGGGCTGGCAGCGCCGGAAGGCGGCGAGCCATTGTCCACTGGGAATTGCAGGGGAGGATTGCGGGAATGTCCAGCTCCTGTCCCAGGGAGCTGGGGGGTTAGGCCCAGAGGCGGATGTCCCTCGGCCTGGGCTGGTGTCGCCTCTTCAGCTTTGCCACGAGCTCCCGCTGCCTTCCCATCCCTTCTGCTTTTGGGATACTCTCCTGGCTGCTCCCGGTCGCCCCGGAGCAGCTCCGAGCGCCCGCAGGACGTTCGGGCTGCCCTTGTTCCCTCCCTGAGGCAGGAGGAGGCTCCTCCGGGACGTTACTCACCTTCATCCCTCTCTCCCCCTGTGTTCGGCAGCTAAGAAGAAGAACAAGAAGGGCAAGACCCTGACTCTGACGGACTTCCTGGCGGAGGATGGCGGCGGCGGCGGCGGGCCCACCTACATCCCCAAGCCCGTCAGCTGGGCCGACGAGACAGACGACCTGGAAGGAGATGGTACTGTCATGTCCCAGCGCTCGGACGCGTGCGCCTCCGGGCAGCCCTTTTCACAGTAAAACCCTGGGAAAAAATCCCCTGGCTTGCAGCGTAAAGCGAAGAAATTCTCCCTTTGGGGCTTCCTCGCTGCGCTTGGCAGCGCCGTGCGGAGCCGGGTGGATTCTCCCCCTGTCTCTTAAGCAGCTGGGGGAGAAGCCTGGCTGTAAAACGTTGCTGACTCCCCTGCTAATGGCCTTGCCCGCCTGGTGGGGAGGCAGTTGAGCGTATCCTTCACCAGCCGATGCTCCGAAATAAAACGCTGAAGCACCGTGAAATTCGCTAGTGGTTTCTTTCCTGGGTTAATAATTAAGCTCTGCGAAGGAGCTAAGTCCTCGCCGTGCCCGGGGCTCGCAGGGCAGAGAGGGCGGCCCGGGCGGGAGGCGGCGCCGCGGCCGGCAGCTCCCGCAGGGAGACCGGGAGCCGGATGGGGAGCTTTGGAGCCGCGTCACGGCACAGAGGAACTCCCCTCGGCAGCACCTTCTCGTGCCTTTTGTGCCCCTTTCTTGCATGAATTGGGGGAAAAATAACCTCCACACATGGAAACCTGCTGCCTTTTTGTTTCTGGGCTGTCAGACGGTTCAGCCAGATCAGATTAGCCGCAGGGCTTTAGCCCGGAGCTCCTTGGTTGTGGAGCAGCTGAGCTGCCCCGAGTTGTCCACGCGCGGGCCGGGGAGGCCGTGCCGTTTAGCTGCTCTCCCCTCGCGTTCGTTTCGGGTGACTTTTGCCCGCTTTCTCTCTCAGTTTCCACCACCTGGCACAGTAACGATGACGACGTGTACCGGGCACCTCCGATCGACCGCTCCCTCCTGCCCACCGCCCCGCGGGCCGCCCGGGAACCCAACATAGACAGAAGCCGCCTCCCAAAGTCCCCCCCCTACACCGCCTTCCTGGGAAACCTGCCCTATGACGTGACGGAAGAATCCATCAAGGACTTCTTCCGAGGACTCAACGTGAGTAAGGCCTCGGCACGCGGCTGGGGCGGCTCCCTGCCGGCCCGGGGTCCAGCAGGGAGCCGTGCACCGTAATTCCCGCAGTTTGGGTGCTGCAATCCCTGTTCCTACCCCGCTGGGTGCAGAGTGAGGGCGCTATGAGTGAGTTGAGCGGCCTAGGCCAGTCTTAATCCCGGCTTTGTGTCCGGAATTGCCAAGTGCCACATCGCTTGGGACTCCCCTCATCCCGGGGGAACATCCCTTGTTGGGACATGTCCCTTGCTCTGTCGCGCGAAGCAGAGTTGGCAGCGGAGCTTTGAGCCCAGCTTAGTTAAAGCAGCTGAATCAACGGAGGCTGATGCCTCCCGCACACGCGTGGTGGATGTGAATCCAAAGGAGATTCCCAGTTGGAGCTCACTCGAGATGCTGCCTGCCCTGTGGCTGGGAATAGCAGACTGGAAATACAGACATTTTGCAGCTTTCACAGTTCAGGAAGGAGACGGGGAGCGTGAAGGAGGGGAGCGGAGCAGTGGTCCCTCCTCGGAAGGTCGCTGCCCTGGCTGTGGGGCTCCGAGCAGCTCAGTCGCCCGTCGGGGCTGCCCGGGTGTTGGCAGCTGTGCTGCCCTCTCGGGGTCCGCGCGCTCTCCGTCCCTACATCCCTGTTTTGCTCCTGCTCTCCCACTTGCAGAACCGTCTCCTGCTCCGCATCGCTCCCTGGAGCTCCCTGTGCAGCCTCTCCTGTTGCTGCCACGAGGGGATGGCTCTTCACGTGGTGCTTTTCCTTCAGGGAATGCTGTGAGCATCCTGGGCTGCCGCTTCCCTTCCTTTGGGAGCAGCCACGCTCTGGGAGCTTAACCCGGATGAGGGAAGGCTGTAGCAGGCACTAGTGCAGAGCCGGGGAGCGATGCCGAGAGCTTGAAGCACAAATGTTGTGTGGATGGAAGTGGACGTGTCCCCTGCAGGCAGCAGCCCAGCCTAAAGGAAGCTGTAGTGTGTTTGAAGGAGTTAGTCCTGCTTTCCCTGCTCCTTGCTGAGGGGATTCGTTCAGAGGCCTGATGTGTTCCCTGGTCTCCACTAACTGGATCCTTCCAGCGGGCTGGAAGCGGCGTCTGAGGAGCAGAGAGCCAAAGTCTGACGAGCGCTTGCCCCTTGTGCTTGCCTGCAGATAAGTGCTGTGCGTTTGCCCCGGGAGCCCACCAATCCCGAGAGGTTGAAAGGCTTTGGATACGCTGAATTTGAAGACATAGACTCCTTGCTCCAGGCTCTGAGCCTCAATGAAGAGGTGAGTTGGAAGCGGATGGGAGAGCCCCGGGGTGTAGGGGTCCCCAAGGGTCACCCTTGCACACCACGCACGGGGCCCCCGCTGCTGAGCAACCCCGTGTGTTGAAGATGTATCTTGCAGAGGGGAAGCTATTGCTGCTGGAGAAGGGCCTAAGTGGGGGAAAAAGCCCTTTTTAGGCCTTAAAATCCCCAGGAGAGCCCCCCGTGCTGTAAAAGCTGTGCACACTGCAAGGCTGATTCCCTGGCGTTGTGTTCAGTCCCTAGGGAACAGAAGAATACGAGTGGATGTTGCTGATCAGGCTCAGGATAGAGGTGAGTTTCGCCCTGGGTCACGGGCTGCCTCGGTACCTGCGTCTTGTGCTGGATTTTTGGAACAGCTGAATTTTCCTGACTAAAGGGAGACAAATCTCCCTTTAGATCTAGATTAAATCTCTCTTTAGACAGGTCTGCTGTGCGCTCGAGATACGGGCGGCTTAACTGGCAGCCTAACCTTGCTGCTGCAGCAAACCTGCGTGTGGTTTGAGCTCGCGTCAGGCTCGGCGCTGGGGCCAGACCTCTCTCAGGCCAGCGCCTGGGCTCAGCTCCTGCCCGCGCTGCCCAGGGACCCGGCTAGGGTGTTTTTGCCTGCTGGAACTTATCTAATAATGTTGTGTCGGTGCCTCCCACACCCTTGTGCTGTCCATATCTCCCTAATTGAGGGCTGTTTTCTTTTCAAAGCGGTGGCGGTGCCAGCTGATAACGTGAACAGCAGAGCAAAGTGGTGAAGCCAGAGAGTCTGCGTTGTCCTCAGCGTGTTTTAACTGACGGGTTTCTTGCCCAAGCTGAGCTCAGGACGGCACGCTCTCAGCTCTCCAGTCACAGCTGCTCTGGCCTGGCTGCACGCTTCAGTTTGCTCCTGTTGCCCTGCAGATCGGGACGACCGCGGCTTCGGCAGGGACCGGGATCGCTTCCGAGACTCGGAGAGATTCGAGAGCGACTGGAGGGCCCGGCCTGCCAACACCGACAGCTTTGACGACTACCCTCCCCGCAGGGGCGACGACAGCTTCGGAGACAGTGAGTTGGCACCGAGCTGCCCCTTGGCACTCTCGCTAATGCGGAGATTTCTAACCTGAGCTGCTGGGGCCCGTCCCAAGGGGAGCTGCAGGACGGGGAAACCCGTTTGCAGCCACGAGGGTGATGGGTGCTGCTTCCGTGTAAGGATTTGCACCCCCTTCAGGGAACTCCGAAGGTTTCTGCATCGAGAAAAGGGCTTCCCGTCTCTCCTGTCTGGTGACTGATCAGATTGTCCACAATCACAAGCACTTTCCTCCGCTTCTTCCCTGGCAAGCACATTTCCTGCAGGATTTTGTGGTTGCTTCTCCTGCTTCTGCAAACCAGAGCTTTCCTGGGAGTCTCTAACGTTCTGTAGGGCTAGTCCCTCCTCGCTTCCCGTGTTTCCTCTGAAAATCAGCATTATCTCGATGTGCAGATGTGCTTTGTGGTGCTGTGTGCGATGGGATGCTGCAGATTCTCTGCTGAGGTGGTGGTTAAGGGCAGATGGGTCTGTTGAGGAGAGGGACAGCGAGACTCGCCTGCTCGGCGAGGGTCTGTGACCGAGGCGGGAGCAGGCACAGGAGGGTCTCTGCCGTGTGCGCCCCTCGAGGCCACGTTGGGAGGGCTCGGCGAGTGTCAGCGCGTGCATCCCGGTACCCTCCGCTCCCCCTTCCAGGGTATCGGGACCGCTACGATGATCGGTACCGGGATGGCCCCCGGCGGGATATGGACCGAGGCTTTGGGGGCAGGGATCGCTACGACGACCGCAGCAGAGACTACGACCGAGGTGAGGGGGCTGCGAAGGCCGCGGGCGGAGCGGGACAGGCCGGGCTGCCCACCGCGCTTCGCTCCCGCTGTGTTGACACAGCTGGACACGTCCAGCCCGGCACCATCTCCCTCTCGTAATTAAGGGCTGTGGAAGAGGGAACGGCTTCTTTTCCCCTCTGGGCAGCTTTCGTGTGCCCTGGTCCTTATCAGAGCCCTGGTGTGGCCACGCGTGGAGGCCTTGCTGTGCAAAGACCCTGGGCCCCCCTCCCTGCACCCACACGGCCCCGGTGCTGGCGGAACGGCGGGAATAACGGGCCGGGGCTTCCGCTCCTCCCGCAGGCTACGACTCAAGGATAGGCAGTGGCCGGAGGGCCTTTGGCAGCGGCTACCGCCGGGATGACGACTACCGAGGAGGGGGTGACCGCTACGAGGACCGCTACGAGCGGCGGGACGACCGCATGGACAGGTGGAGTTCCCGGGATGACTACGGCCGGGATGATTTCCGCCGCGAGGACAGAGGTAGCGGCTCTGCCCGGGCGGGCGCCCGGGGATGAGACCCAGCAGCTCGGCCGAGCGCTGTGCGGGTGGCTTCGCGCCCGCTCAGCCCCGCTCCCCTCCCTCGCAGGTCCCACTCAGAGGCCAAAACTGAACCTGAAGCCCAGGAGCGCGCCCAAGGAGGAGGAGACGGCGGTGGCGCCGGCGCCCCAGTCCAGCCGCGCCGCGTCCATCTTCGGCGGGGCCAAGCCCGTGGACACGGCTGCCCGGGAGCGAGAAGTGGAGGAGCGGCTGCAGAAGGAGCAGGAGAAGCTGCAGCGGCAGCTGGAGGATGACAAGAGGATAGAGCGGCGGCCCCGCGAGAGGTGGGCAGGGAGCAGGATCCGTGGCTTTGCCGGGATGTGCTGGGGGAAGGGGGGTGGGATGGGCCCTCAGGTGCTTCGGACGGTGTCCAGGGGGCTCGGTGGCCCCTTGGACACTCTGGGAGGCAAAAGGCTGCTGCTGCTGGGGGCTTGTTTCTGCCTTTGTGCTGTGGTTTTCCGTCCTCGTGGTGCTGGGGATCCCTCCCAGGGTGCTATGGACCCCCTTGGAGCCCCATCCGTGCACACACTCCCCTCCACGTGCTCCTGAGCACCCAGTGAGGCGTCTCCCTGCGGCACAGGCATCCCAGCTGGCGGAGCGAGGAGAACCAGGAGCGCTCGCGGACGGGGAGCGAGTCCTCGCAGACTGGCAACTCCGGCCCCCCCGGCACCTGTGCGGGGACTGGCCCCACGGGCAGAAGTAAGTCGGGGACGCGGTGGCCCCGAGCTCAGCCCTGCCGGTCACCCAGGGCCGAGGCCGAGGCTCTGTGCCGCCCCTCTGCTCACGGCCGCGCTCCGCCCTGCAGCCACACGAAGGAGGGAGAGCGAGAAGTCTCTGGAGAACGAAACCTTCCCGAAAGAAGACGATGCCCCGTCTCCCACCTCCAAGCCTCGCGAGGAGAAGCAGCCCCTCAAGGTGATGCCTGCCCCTCCGCCCAAGGAGAACGCGTGGGTGAAGCGCAGCAGTAACCCCCCCGGCCGCTCGCAGAGCTCGGATTCGGAGCAGCACTCCCCTACGAGGTGAGTGCCGGGGCTGGAGCGTGTCCCGGGCCTCGGCCTTCTCCATGCCTGGTGCCCGGAGGCTCTTACAGCCCCCACGGGCTGGGCTGGCCCGGGGGGTTAGTGCTCCGCTTGCCTAGGCTGAGATTCGTGCTCTTTATTCCCAGTGGCAGCCAGACGGCACCGAGCCTGCCCTTGGAAGACGGGATACCTCCCAAGAGTGCCCACAGGAAAGGTGAGACGGGCTTGGGGGCAGGGGTTTGCCGCGCTCGGCTCTGGGAACACAGGACGTTCCCAGCTCTAGGAGGAGCTGGCGCAGGACTTGAGACTCTCCAAGCAAAAGCGATCTTAAAACTTGCTCCAGGGACCCACTCGGGGCGCGTTTCCATCCCTCGGAGCGTGGGGGTGGCGCGAGGGTCCCTCGTGTGGCGCCCGGCAGAGCTCGGTGCTCGCAGCTCGTGGCGCGGGGGAGGCTCTGGGCGCCCGCGCGGTGCCTGGAGGGGACAGTGAGAGACCCGGGGCCTTTCCCCTTCAGGAGACGAGAACAAACCGGACGGCGGGAAGGAAGGAGGCTCGAAGGTCCGGAGCGGGAGCGCCGGCCGTGGACCAGGAGACTCAGATAGGTGGGTGGTCCTGGCCTCTCGCTGCTGGCTCCCGAGCGGCCGTCACGTTAGCCCCGGCTCTGGAGAGCGGGAAATGGCCAAGCCCAGCCCTGCCGAGGCGGGTCTCACGTAGGCCTGCCTTCCCTCCCGCTCCGTTCTGCAGAGGGGGACTCTGCCCCTGTGCCCGGACACTGCTGCTGGGTTTGGGCGCAGATCGGGATTGCATTAAGACCTGGCCTACCTAAAGACCCCTGAGGGAGCTGCAGGGGCTCCTTGTGCCTTGGAGCGGGCTCGTCCGAGTGTAGCTGCAGCCCGTTAACAGCGTGACCACCTCCAGTGAGCTAACCAGCCTGTGGTTCTTGCAGGAAAGAAAGCAGGAAGGATCATGACCCAAGACCTGCCTCTGAGCCAAAGAAACTCGATGAGAACCCAGCCTCCGTAAGCAACCTCGCGCCTCCGGAAGGGCAGCGTTGGGTGGCAGGAGGCACCAAGGCGGGAACAGCCCAAATGCTGAGACCGAGCAGATCCCAGCACCCCCAGTTAGCCTTCGCGCAGTGTTGACCTGTGCTGGGGCTGGGGCTGGGGCTGCTCGGGTTGTTCTTGTGTGATCCCGAGTCTGCCTCACCCACTAGTGCGGCAGAATGGGCCCCTTTTAGCTGCTCCTTCCCAAAGACACATCTGATGCCTTGCTGAGGGCTTTTAGGCGGGTGTCTAACATAAACCCCGTCTCTCTGGGCCCTGTCTTGCAGCAGTTCAGCCACGCCAGCAAGTACGCTGCTCTGTTGGTGGACGGCGAAGACGAGGAATGTGCCGAATAGAAACCTCCCGGCCCTGCGCCGCCTCCTGACCAGCTGCCACCTGGGATCATCGGGAGAGTAAAACCAAACCTCTGTCCAGGCAAGACCGAAATAAAGCCTAAAACTCAACATCTCCTGAAGACCTTTCTTAAACTTTTTTTAAAACAAAACAAAACAAAAACATCAAAAAAAAACCCACGAAATGCAAAGTACAAAAAAGGAAACCTCTTGCATGCTGCTGCAGTCTTTAAAGTATTGAACTAACTGGAGAAACCTCTACAGAACGTAGCGAGAAAAGTGCAGGGGTCTTTTGTTCACAGGAAAGCACCTCTGGCTCGTTCCGGAGCCGAGGACTCGGAGCCGCTCCCGGGGGCCGGAGGCCCGGGCGCTCCGGAGAGGCGCGAGCGCTTTGAGCAATAGGGCAGCCAAGGAAGAACCGGCTTTTTCTCCCTCGTCTTCTTGCTAGCCTAAAAAACAAAACAAAATGGATGAATTCTGCAACGCTACCTTAAATAAAAGATCACCTTGAAGGTAGGGACTTGGAGTCTGAGGTTCTTGGAGTTGCTCGGAGCGCAGGGCTGAGCTCGGTGGGCGCAGCGGGTGGATGGAGCCGGTGCCATGGGGGAGCCCTTGCTGGGCCGGGGCTTTGCGGCTGCTCCCGCCGGGCTCAGCCCATTCCCAAGCGGTTTTCCCAGGGCGGGAGGGCAGTGCCCGGTGCCTCGTTGGGGAGCGAGCGGGGCGCTGCGCATCCTGTGGCCTCGCTCCCCAGCCCCGGCCTCCTGCTCGCCACGGAGCAGCCCTTCCCAGAGCCGCGATTCCCACCAGCTCCCAGGCACGGGCAGCCCCTGGGCGGCCCCTTCTCCTCTCCCTCCTCTTCCTCCCTCCTTCGCTGCCCCCGTCCAGCGCCTGCTTTTCCAGGGCGCCCCTGGAACCCCTCTCGCCCCAGCCCGCTGGGAAACAGCCCCAATTGGCACCGTCTCCAAATGGGCAATTTTAGCAGAATTCCCCCCCTTGGCAGCTCGGCGCCTGCGTGTCACACGCGGCACGGGGACAACGGGCTCCAAAAGGGAGGTGCTGGGGACAGGGCCGGGGTGACCGTCACCCTCTTGGCAGAGAGGAGCTTCTCCCGGGGGAGCGCAGGGTCCCCATGGATCATTTCGGGAAGGAAAGGTGACACCGCGGGCGCAGCCTCGTCCCTGGGCTCGGGCTCGTTTCCCTGCCCCCTTGGGCCACCCTCAGTCCCAGCGTTTCCCACGTTCCGGAGCAAACCTGTAAAATTTGTACAAAAATATCTCCTATGGAACTGATTTGTAAGTGGTGGTGGCCTCCCTGGGAGACGTCTTTTATTATGTAACCCCCTCGCCTTGATTATTTGGGGGGGTTTTGGTTTGTTTTGTTTCCTCCAATAAAACTCATCTTGAAAATACCCCGGAATGTCGCCGCTCGTCCTCAAGCGTCGCGCTCCTCATCCCGCTCCTCCCGGCCGGGCAGCGGGAGCCACTGGGAGCCGCTTTTCCATCTGGAGGGTCCTGGAGGGGCAGCCCCCGTGTCCTGCTGCCACCCAAGGGTGGCCGTGTTCCCGTCGATCCCTCCTTGCAGATCCCATCCCAGGCTCTGGATGAGGAAGGTGGCTCTGGCCAACGAGAGTCCTGGAATAACCCTCGGCTCCCTGCTTGGGAAGAACGGCCAGGATCCGCTCCCTGGATTCGGCCCCCGGGCTTCCTCCCCGCGCCGCGAAGCCCCTGCGGATCCCAGCGCCGCGAGGCCGGAGGCGGCTCCGTCCGGCGCGAATCCGGAGGTGGCGCCGGATCCACCCCCCGGAGCCGCAGAACAGCGGCCGCCTTGTTGCTCCGAAGGGGAAAAATAACCCGAGGCGGCGCCGCGGCCCTTCCCGCCGCCCACAATCGGCCTCTGTCCTCGCGCTCGGAGCCTTTCCAGCTCCGGCTTTTTCCAGCCTCCCGGGGCTCTTGGTGCTGCTTGGGGAGCCCCAGATCCCCCTGGTGCCCGCAGGGGCTGGAGGCTCCCGGGAAGGCTCAGAACAAGATGGGATCTGGATCCCGGCTCTGTTCCCGTGACAGTGCCCTGAACCCGGGCGCCCGCGTCCCGCTTCCCATTGCTCCCTGCATTCGGCACCGTGTTCTCCCGTCCCATTCCCACCTGCTCCATCTCCCAATCCCAACCAACCTGAATCATCCCAGGTGCTGGAGCCACCTTCCCTGGAGGGGATTCCGGGGGGCCCGGCTGAGCCCCAGCGTGTCCCATTATCCCTCCTGCCTCCCCTCCTCATCCCCCCTATCCCGCTCCGTGTGTCCCATTATCCCTCCTGCCTCGCCTCCTCATCCCCCCTATCCCGCTCCGTGTGTCCCATTATCCCAATTGCCTCCCCTCCT